CCTGGCTTGATGAATCCGTGTCTGCTCATCCTGGCTTGGTCTTTGTGCAACCAATTAAGCCTGGACGCACGTGTTTTGGATTCATTGAGCTCAGCTCAGTCATTTATCCTGGATGTCTTAATTCTACTTTTGTGCAACAGGCCCCTGCACAGCTTGAAGTCAGAGCAAACTGCCTAATAAGTCAGTACATGTGCAAAACAATGCAAATACTATTATATAGACAATGTGTAAAAAAAAAAAAAAAAAGTACTCAAAAACCTGAAAACTGTGACATCAATAAGCACCAATAATCTCTGACAACAGGAATGCTCCGATCTCACTGAGCTGCAGCCAGAGGTGGCCCTCAGTTTGGTGCTGAGGCTGCCTCACTGGACTGAAATAGGAAAATAGCACAGTAACAACCACATAATACACAGAGAGCGACAGAGCAGAAAAATAAAATGGTCTTTGAATTTTGATGTTCAAATGACCTTACAACAAAACTTAAAGCACCTCAGTACTAATGACCCACACGTGTACACACAGAAGTGCACTGGAAGCTTCCATAGGGACAATCAGAAAGGGAAGGAATGGAGGAGAATCATGGATAAAAAAAATAAGAAAAATAAAAAAGAACCATGAAAAAAGTATTGGAGCGAAAGGGAATAAGATGCATAGAGGGTGAGAAACAGAAAGGATAATGTAGTTGTAAACCCAGACAAGAGAAAATGAGAGATAAACATTGGGAAAATGAGCAAGAGATTGGGGCAATTCAGATGGAAATCAGAGGTAGTCCCTTTTATCATCCAATTCTTTCATCTTCCAAAATACACATTTGATAATGTATCAGCAAAATGGAGCTTGAAAAAGAGAGATGTGATGTAAATTCTGGACACTGATTTTGTTTTAGAATTGTGAAAGCATATCTGATGCAGAAAGGATCTGCAGCCTGATAGTGAGGTGAAGAAGAGAAGAGAGGATGTGGGCGTCACTGTCTTTTAACAATAGTTCTTGCAGAGGAGAGAGAACACATACTGTATATTTGTTTCCCCTGCCAAAGTTTTTCCAGTGAGCTCGGGTATTCAAACTAGCATCTATCTTATACCTTCTTCTTATAAGAACATATTCTACTTGTCAGAGTGCAAGGCATCATATCTAGTACATCTAGTACCACATTCAGGGAAAAGTCAAACCCACCTGAGACTATTGTGGGATAAAATGCCCACAAGTGGGCAGGTGGTCACCAACCTGTCCAACATGTCCCTGCTGAATAACTTTAGGGCTACACCAGTATTTTAGCCCATCAATCCATTATCTATACTTCTTATTCTGTTGAATGATCTGGGTGGGGGCTACATGGAACTGTAGGATAAATATGTTCAAGCGGTCAGCAAAAAAGACCATTTGTACTTAAGGAGACAAATCCTAAAAACATGATGATGCAATCCTTAAAGGTTTTAACCACTTCAGGATTCAACCAGTAGCAAAACATTCACCTTCAGCATCTTGGTTCCATCTGTGATACAGATGTGAGTGACATATTAAGCATAGCAGATCGATTATAGACCAAGAATGGACCACAATACAGCAACATAAAATGTGGAATCAGTTTCTAAAGATCGCGTCAAACCATAATAATCAAGGTTAATGGTATAACAAATCTGTTTTTGAAATAGGTTACTAACAGATGGGCAAAAGTATCTGGCAAACAGCATACAAAATGTAATTTAATGTTATTGTATAATAACAGCAGGTTTTTGAAGAAACTGTTATTTTAGCTGCCTCTAGGGAGTCGGAAAATTCCAACAGCTGCAGCATGGTAGATCAGTACTTGACAATGGCTTCTTTAACTCTGTCAAGAGAGAACAATTATTGGAGATTATGTACTGTGTGTGTATGTGTGTGTGTGTGTGTGTGTGTGTGTGTGTGTGTGTGTGTGTGTGTGTGTGTGTGTTTGTGTGTGTGAAAAAGAGAGAGAGTAGAATGACTGACTGAAAACACAAACCTGCCAGTAGGTATGTGTGGTACCTTTTGTTTCTTTACACAGAGACATAAAAGAAATAACAGTTGTCTTTGCACTGCAAAGACAACTGTAAGGACGATAAGAGTGGGAGGACACAAAAAACAGATCTCATTCAACCTGTTGTGAGACAAATGTTTATATCTTTTGATATAGAGAAAGATTTACTAAAACTCAAAATGCACTACCTCCTTTCATGCTCCATCAGCCAACCTACAAGCGGACACACACACACACACACATTTTGTCTCTTAGTCTTGAATCAGTTTTCAAGGAATATGCACATACCCGTGTACGCTGAAAGAGTTGTTGGTCGCTATCATTTCTCCTCATCTACTGGCTGTAAAGAGATTAATTTTTGAAGCAGTTTCAGTGGAACTGACAGGCAACTAAATCTACACTCTACACTTCTGCGCAACAAAATGTATTCTGAGTTCAGTTTAAGCTAATATGAGACTTCAGCAGTCTGACATAGACAAATTATTTGGCTACCTTCTGAAGTTGCTATTGTTTAAGGACCAAATTCCCACTTATTAACAAAAATTTTGTGTTTCTGGCTAAGTGACATTTTCACAACATGGTCACAAATGTAAAATTGTTGCTTTTCCCACCGACTGTTGACATCTCATTTCTGACCCCAGAGCAGCTCTGCCTCAAACAATTTTTGTAAAGCTGAAACGCTAGTATCTCATCTCAACATTCATTTAATTCCCTTTCGGCACTGGTCCCTACAGGTTACCAGGGCCCTCCAGGGTACATGCTGCAGGCAGCGGGGCCTCCAGGAGCCCAGGCTCATCCAACCTCAATCGTCGCAGCCAGAGCTTCAACAGCATTGACAAGAGCAAGCCTCTTCAATATGCCAGTGGCAACGATAGAGGTAAGGGGGGCATATTGCTGTATTTACAATCACAAGACACACACTTACACATAAAGAGGCTTACAGAGGCCAACATTATTTTTTTTGATTTTGTTTAAGTTAGTGGAGTTTGATGCCAAGTAGGGACACCCATTTTATATTCTCCATCCCAGCCACTTGATGGCACCACTGACTCAGGGAGCTGCATAGGAACCCAGTTTCTCATATTACCAGTCTTAACCAGTCTGCTGAATCATCCCCAGCTCTTTATTCCAAATGAGTTCTAATGGATGCCATTAAGGCAGTGACAAATTTTCACAGCATGGCAAGAGCCATTTGAGATATGACTGAAGGGGCAAATTCAGGCAGCTGCTCTGTCGAGCATGATGAAGCTAATGAGAGTGATTATGTTTTTGAGAGAAAGGCCTCCCAGTCGCTGTGAGTGTATAGCATTTTATTTAAGAGAGAATGGATTATTCATAAGTAAATAGCTGTTTTAACAGCCTGTATCTGTTGTGGAGAGGAAATGTATGGGCTCACAACGATTCAATTACTGAATATCTTTCCTGACTCGCTCAGTATATTGACTCACTCAATATATTGGCAATACCTTCAGCTCATTCATGAGATTTACCATGACATATTGCCTCATACAGTGCTAATAACAATTAGAGCCTTTTCCATGCTTCAAAATCATTTTAATAATTAAAACCAATCCTAATGAGTCTGACAACATTATAATGACAAATCTTTAGTGAGTAATATATAGCATGTAATCACAAAAATGTTTTGTATCTAATGAGTTATGCTTATCTATTAAGGCATTGCCTAGTCCATAACAAAAGCCATAAGATTTAGAGTTGAGAGAGGATCAGTGGGAAGCGGAGGAGAGATGCAGTGAGTGGCATTGTACACAGAGGGCAGTGAAAAGCCTCCAGCAAACTATCCTTTTGAATTTCTCTCTCTGTCATTCTCTCTAGGTTTCAGTCCTAAAAGTTCACATGTGCACTCACCCGTAATATTTCTGTCTGAAACTTCAAACACTTAAATGAAAGGAGAAGGGATGCAAGTGGTTATGAGTAGATGGGAGCAGAAGTGTGGACAGGAAGGGTGTGATCAAGTATAGTTTTTAGCTGATGAGAGAGGAAAGAGAGCAAAAATGACTAACTGATATAATAAGTTTTAATTTCAAATGTTATTTTAAGTTTATCCTTCAGCAAGCCCCATTATAAAGCATTCAGTCGATTTGTTTCATTTTACTGTATGGTTAAAAAAGCTGGTACTTTTTTAAAGAGTGGATATGTTTCTTCCGGACTATTCATACAGTGCAGTTGAGCTGTGCCAGAAGATAAACCCTCAGCTTGCAGAGATAAGACATCAGGTGCTGGAGATTCACTGCAGGGGAGATGAAATAGGGTTTTGGTCTAAAGTAAAAGAAAAATCAATTATAGGGAAATGTCAGCCATGCAGCCAGAATCTTCTGGGCATGAGCAGGTAGCAGAGAAACAGATATAGGAAGTGTCTGCCACAAGCCATTTTACTGTATACATCATCTGGAATTTAATTTGTCTCTTACAGCTAGTTTCATCTGCCCATAATTTTAGACATCCTCTTTTTTATTTTATATCCTTTTTAGCATTTTTATTTGTAGCTTTACTAGCCTTTACAAGTCTGTACAGATTCATGTTTTCTTGTTCCCATTAATATTGTCCCTCCCCCACCAAAAGCAGCAGAACTTTCCATCAGTCAGATTGGTCAAAATGGAGTATAACTGTTCTCCCTTAATAGAGTTTAATAGGATAGGTTTATGTAGGTTTATGTCATTTTATTCAGAAATGCTATGAGGTTTATCTTAAATAAGCTATCAGCATATTTGTTGTGCAGTGCTCGATAAAGCTTGACAGACGTTGCACAGCTGTTATTTTTGCCTCATAGTCCAACAGAGAACCTGGACTTTCTGTGACTTCACAGAAGACAGTCTGGGGTCATTTCAAAATGCATACTGTTGTTGTGTCGGTTCTGTCTTGTTGCTTTTCTTCTTTTGTCTCTCCTCTATCCACTCACCCCAACCAGTCGAGGCAGAAGGCCAACCACCAAGAGCCGGGGTCTGTCGGAGGTTTCTTTTGTCAAAGGGAGTTTTCCTCCCCGCTATCACCAAGTGCTGCTCAAGGGGGATTTGTTGGGTTTTTCCTTAATCATAATAATAATAATAATAATAATAACAATAATAATAATAGTAGTAGCAGTAGCAGTAGTAGTCGTGGTAAGGTCTAGACCTTACTCTGTAAAGTGTCCTGAGATGACTGTTGTTGTGATTACACGCTATACAAATAAAACTAAATAAGAGAGATTGTCACATTTGTGTCAATAGCCCCAACTAGTTCCGACCTGTATTTCACCACTGTTTGGACTTAGGTTACTTGATGAGTTTGGTCACCTCCATGCAGTTAAAATAACTTGTGGTTGTCTATATTTAGCTTGTTGTTGGAAGGACCTGCCCACTTCTGGCATAAAATTAAATAAAAATACTAATACAGATATCTTATAACATGCTCTACATGTTAACAGGTACACATACCTGTAGTAGCTTTGCCTTATAACTCTAATCGCCACTGATGCCATCTGCTCTGATCTGTAAAGGGGGCTGCCATAGGTGAAAATATTTTGTTTGTTTGTTTGTTTGCTTACTTTTCTTGATATTTATAACTTTTTTATGATATAGGCATGTGTGTCCTTGTGGGCATGAAGTGAACCAACTGCAGTGTTTGTCTGCTCACACACAATTAAGCTCTGACCAGAGAGAACAAGAACTCAAGGGGCACATGGGGCATTGCATCTTTCTTGTTGTCATGCAACACTCTAAATGGCTTAAATAAACTAAAGCATCAATGGGCATGGCTTTTGTTGCAAGTAAAATTGGGCTAAAGAAAGTCTGTCATTACTGTGCTTCTTGTTAAAGCCAAGCGGCTGACATGCTCGAGCAAGGCACCAATTTATAATCTGTCTTGCAGCTCAAATTAAAAAGTGTTGAAGTCAGAGTGTGACAAAAGTGTTTGGAAGAGAAAAAGATTCCTGCATAACTACAGTAGGTTTTCACTGACCTAAGACATACAATAAGTATGTGTCAGTGTATGTGCATGTGTCATTTCACTTAAAGGCAATCCAGGCATTCAGTTTTTTCTGGGTTTCTGTGTATAATCTGACATGTAGTTGCAAACAGCAGGTATAGTGTGTGTATCTTTGTGTTTGCATGGTTTTGTTAGCACATGGTCAACCACCACCCAAAAGAAGTGACATTTTGCTAATCGGGCACTGAGGCAAAAAAAGAAGTCTGTTGCCATGGAAATGGCAAGTTACTGCGAAACAGCCTCCAGCAGGGAAAAAGCAGCAGTGGGGGAGGGGGGCCCTAACAATCAAGTTAATTGACTGGACACACACACACACAGAGAATGACACAAATGCTTGCAACCTCAACCAAGGGCCACTGCACTCTTTGTAAATATGAGGATTTATCACAGGATACCGTCACATGTACATACTCAGAAACATTAGATGTCTGTCTCAACACATAAGCCTTACGTTTACCTGGTAGGGATACTTACAGCATAATTTTTTAAATGTATCCAAATAACTGACAGGAAATGAGAGGAGAGATGTGAACACATTAAAATGCATTGAAACTAATAATCTTTTTTTTTCATTAGGCAACTGGTTTTGTTAGATTGTTTCCTTAAATGATCTCAGGAAAATACTCATGATTGCCATCAGCATTGGCAACAGTAGTTTCACACCTGGTAATCAGCCACAGGTTTAAAAGAAATAGCAATAAATTTTCCATCTTGCAGTCCTACTGAGTTCTGTGTATGTGGTGAAAGATAAGGAATAATTCTTTCCTTGCCTGAAGACACGTGGCAGTCAAGAAATGCCCTTGTCATTAATGGAAATTTAAAGTCTGGTACCAGATTCCAACAGCAAGTAAAGAAACATCTCAATTATAGCCTGACTGAATGCACTTTTCACTCCTCAAATAACAGTGCATGGAGGTGTTTTTAGGTATTTTTTAAGGTTTTATAGGATGTTGTCAGAAGTATAAGCTGGTTAAACGGTCTCAGCTGTGTTCAAAGCTGAAGCTGGAACCCCTCCCGCCCCCCAACCAAGCGTCTGCTTGAAGGGTTTTAAATGGCAGACTGGAGGTGACTAACTGCCAGCTGAACCCTTCTCACAGTGGTGACTGACAACCAGACAGACAGTCTAATGGTGTATAACTTCATGCTGTCATTTCATGGCCAACCTGTCATTATTTCCACCCCATCTCTAAATTTGCCTTTCTTTCTCATCCTGGAATTTATTAGCCCCACTTTTTCTCAGAAGTAGCCTCAAACTCATACCCAGAAACAGATGCATTGTCTCTCTGTGCCTGCTTGTCTGTTGTGTCTGTATTCTTGTCATAGTTTGAAGCAAATGCTCCATTTACAGATGTAGGCATCCAAGGTGTCACTCTCTGCTGTGATAAGTGACCACTTTCACTGTGGCTGTTCATCATTTGTCCTGCAGCACGGCATGTGTTACAGTATAATGTCTATAGGTGGCGCTCAGCCTACACTCACAGGTACAGCACCCCATGCATACACAAACCACATCCCATAGGCTCCTATATGAATGCATACTTTGAAGTAAATAAAAAGCTCTGTGGTCAGGCTTCACTTTAAAACATGATTATATGGTGTATGGATTGCGTTGTTAGTTTACTATTTTGTAGATTTTTGTTTAAACAAATCAGCCAACCCGGTCTCCTAAAAACTACATTCCTAGAGTATTCAACTGAACTGCAAACGCAGATAGGTTTTGAAGGAAATGTATTTGATTGTTAGATGTGTAAAGTACCACTGCTGCTTTTTTAAACCACCCCTCCCTTACAGCCTACTTGTTAGGTCACCATATCTCCTACAACATTTCTATGCAACTCTTTTTTTAGGGATCATGTTTGATGATGCAGCATCTTATTGAATAAATGAAGCCCT